AGAAGGTTTTGTTAATAAGTAATTGGTGTCAAGAATATAGAAAGTGACCAGACAACTATGTAATAGATATATAAATAGCTGAGATTAGAGAGAAGCAGCAGACAGACAACATTAGACTGTAAGTGTGAAAAAGCAATATCCTGAATTTAGGTTTGCAGGAACTGAAGGAAGCACATATGAAAGACTATTCACAACAGAAACTTTGGGACAATGCCCGGAAGAAAGTCGAGCACAAAACAAAGGGGAAAGATACTTATAGAATAGAGGACCAGAAGGGAGTTCTATAACAAATCTATCAAGGCAGTTATACTGGGTAAGTTAAACAGATCATAGTACCAACAGAATACTGGACTCAAGTGATGAAGTTAGCTCATGAATCAATTATAGGAGGACACCTAGGAACAAAGAAAATGGCAGACAGAATCACCAGTAATTTCCATTGTTCGGGAGTAATTGGAGATGTGAGTAGATTCTGCAGGTCATGTGACATCTGCCAAAGGACAATACCTAGAGGGAAGGTAGCCAAAGTACCATTGGGGGAGATGCCTCTCATAGAAGAGCCGTTCAACAGAGTAGCTGTGGACTTGATCGGGCCACTATCTCCTGTGTTTGACAAGGGCAACCAATATGTGCTAATAGTAAAAAACTCCACTGACACTCTTGCAAAGTCCATTACATTTAGGATTGTACGGGGTGGTAAAGATTTGCTGAGTACTGATGAGTCTGCACACTTCCTGCATCAGTTCTGAAGTAGACTGAATCCCTCTATCACTCAGGATTTCTCTTGGAAAGCCTACTCTGCAAAATATCTCCAGGAGGGCTTCTGCTACTCTCTCTGTCTCTATCTTTGGCAATGCCATTGCTTCTGGATAACGTGTTGCATAGTTGACCCCAACTTTAAAATGTTGATCCTTGGCCTTGTCATAAAACTGCTTCTGACTACCTTGAGCTGCATACAAACTCTCTCGAGTGAGTTGACAGGTTCCCGAGGTCTAACACATACCGTGTTCCTAACTTCTGACTCTTCTTCTCCCATCCATAGCTCTTTCAATATTTGAATCGGACCTCATACTGTTCTTCCATACAGTAACTCTAAGGGTGAAAATCCTGTACTTGCTTGTAGGACTTCTTGATAAGCGAATAATACTGCCTGTAAGTACCTGTCCCAGTCATGTGGTCTCTCTTGGCACATCTTCTTTAGCATATTCTTTCAAAAGGTCTTAGTTCTGCTGTCTACAGACACAACAAACTCACCCTTCAATGGAAAGGACCTTTTGAAGTACAAGAAGTACTCAACAGAATGTTCTACAAGGTGAATGTGAATGGGAAGACCAAGATCTAGCATGCCAATCTGTTGAAGATGTATTTTAGGAGAGAAGATCTGATGGGTGCAACTATTGAAACAGAGATGGATGTTGCAGGTGTGGCCATCATAGATGCAGAACCAGAAAACAGCAACTTTGTCTTAGAAGATAAGAACCTACTATGCTTAAGGGCACTGTGTAGAGATGAGACGTACAAGGACATGAACATGAGTGTCAAACTGACTGATAGGAAGAGGGAAGAGAAACAAATAATACTGTGTCAGCATACAGATAGATTAGGAAAAACAAACCTCAGACAACACACGGTCAAGATGAAGATGAGGGATCCTGTTAAAGAGAAGCCCTATTAGATATCCTATGTTAGAAGAGACAGATAAAGGAACTGCAAATGTTGGAGCAGACTTTGTATGTGAACTAAGAACAATCTTTGTATATAGTAAAAAAAGTATTATAGATATTTTATCTTGAAGAGGGGTTTATGTCATGATATAAAAAACTGTTTGGTTTAAATATTAGTGATTAATTTATATTTGTGAGTGAACGAGTCTTGTACTGTTTTTATATTCTTTTATTGTTATCATGAGTCTTCTTCCCATTTCTCCAGTGACATTTTTGTGTTTCTCATTGGTAGGTTTCTCTTTGTTTTTCACCTGAATGGATCTTAACATTTTGTAGGATTTCCACCAGATGTTTATGTTGAATTTCTTTGCTATGCGTTTGAGTTTTTCACTGAAATTTTGCAGGTATGGGAGGTAAATGGTAGTAGTGGTAGTGTTTTTCTGATATTTTCTTTCTGATGTGGTCTTCTTCAGGGAGTTTTTGATGAAGGAAGAGGTGTAACCATTCTGTTTAAAGCACTCTACAATCTTATGGCATTCTATTTCGATGAATGTCTTATCTCAAATGTTTTCTGCTCTGAAGTCTAAGTAATTTGATTAGAGTTAATACATCATTTACCACTTCCCTTGTGAATATTTACTCTAATACTTTATAGAAACAAAACAACTAACAAAAATTAGAATTTAAGAATGTAATAGACACACAGTTTAATAGTCTATCATGCCAAGAACATACAGTAAATTGGAATAATACCAAAATAGTGGAATATAAACCACACATGAAAAGAAGCCTTCTACATCTACTTAACTGAAAAAATACATTCAGCCAACTTTGCATAGAAGTCAGCAAAATGCTAGATACTACTTCTGAAACATTTAAATAAATCGGATGAGTGGGTAACACCCCAGCCTCTATCAAGAAAATCCAGGTACGATTCTCAGCCGCTACCACCACAGAAAAAGCCCTTCTCAAGGCTTCCCTGAAGACAACAGTAGATTAGTGCTAAAAACTTTAAAAAAACTAGTTAGTAATTAATAATTAATAAATAAAGGAAAAGAAGATTAGTAACTATTAAATAATTAGATGTAAGTGATAATATATAGGCTGCTACTAACCATGACAATGATTTATATACAGTTGCCATAACCTTACTTTCATTTTTTATTCCTGCACATTCAATAGTAAATACTGATGTAAGTTACAGAAAACAGAGGAAGAAATTGTAAACAAAAGCACTTGGCTGTGGCTCTATAATTTAGTTAGTTTGACATATAAGATAACAGGCTTTCAATACCCGTTATTGTTTGAAATAAAGTTGATGATAAGAAACTACAGAAAGTTCAGTCTATAAATTTTAAAAAATACTGTAGTAATAATATTTATATTTGAAAAACTGTAATAAAATATGTCAAAGAAATAGGCACACGTACATACACATCTTAAATCTTATCATACATACTGCTGGTCTGTTATAGCAAAACTGTATGTTTGAAGTAATACTCATAAAAAGTATAAAATAATGAGTAATTTTGAGCAAAAAAAGCAGTTTGTGGCTACCATTGGTCAAATAATCACTCATTCCATCAACCACAGTACATGGACCATCAACCAATCACATCAACCTCAGTCCTCCTAGATAGCATACAAACCCCTGAAAACCCATTGCCAGCTGATCTGAAGAAAAAAGATGGAAATCTTTCAAGACATCTTTCTTTTCCATCTTTGCTGCTTTCGTGGTTTAATCCTCCAAGACTTTCTCCATGAGTGTCATGCTGTACGCAAAGTAGTTGCTACCCATTTCACCTTTGTTTATTGTGAAAAGCCTGCCTAAACCATTGATAAAAGAATGGCTAATTTTATAACAAGTCATCCCATGTTTTATTTCAAGTATATATACATGTTGCTTTTAATTGAATTATTACTTTTAAACACATTTACAGGAACATTATAGAATATTTTGGGAAATACATCCCCTGGTTTAGCAGTTAGCTTGGAAGCTTAAAAACTAGAATAGTACAGTTAGTCCAATATGGAATTTTCTGTTGAAACTAACAAACAATCAATAACAGATTCATTTCCTTTTTTAAATATAACATACACTTTTAAATATAGACATAAATGTACACTAAATTCATAAATGTAACATTTATCACCTACATTGAATCATGATAATAGTTAAAGTTTTCTCTACCTTGAACTGTAAGTACTATTTCTTATAAATGATATACAATAGTGAATTAACAAGTTTCTTTCTTGTGTAGAATTAAATGTAAAGGGTGAGTTTAAAACGTCTGGGTAAATAACATTAACAACCTATTTACTGACACACCAGACAAGGTTAAATCAATTTCATTAAAACCAAATGGATAAATACCTGTTTTAAACTTAATTTTTTCTGATATGTCTGGAAAAAGGCTGTTAACATGGGATAAATTGTTTGTTATAAAAATTAAAATTTATTAAGGTACTTGAATATTCTAGGTGTTAGTGAATTCAGTGAAAATATTTGTTTTTCATTCATGTAAATTAAAGGTGTAACTTAAACTGTAAAATGTTTTCTGTGAGTATATGTTTATATACAAAGACACAGAGGGTTGAGAATGTTTTATTAAAATGATTTTGAAAATAAAAATCAGCAAGTTACAGTCAATATGAAATCATAGTGGAATAGTATGTATCAGAACTATGTTTGGATATTGGTTGGTGTTTTGTAGGTAATGTGATTGCTTTTTAGGAGGGAATATAATAGCCCTTTCCGACTCAAAATATCCATATCCTCGGATAATATTGATGGGTTCAGATCAATGACTTAGAATTTCCAAAATAGGGATATTTCTTGTACTTTAAGGCATTGGAAAAAAAAGGAATATGATTATCTAGGAGCTACAGGACCAACCCAAAAGAGACCTGAAACAAGTTGTATACTAGCCATGGTAAGCAAAGTATGGTGCCTTATAACATATGAGAATCTACTAATATAAAGATCAGTGACAAAAGCTATCCACATACTCTTACCAACAGTGCACAACATGATCAAGAAGAATCTCTATTTGGAAACAACACCAACTAGATATATATTGATTAAGATAAGACTTCCAGTCATACTTTCTGTTCAACTGTTGCATACCTTAAGCAACTGTAAGCAGATATTTGTGCAATTTCATACAAAATATCTATTCAAGGTGCTGGATATAGCACTTACGAATTTCTGTGCAATCGGACTGTTCAAATGAGCCATAGGAAACTGCACTAGATGGTTTATGGAAACCATGCAGGTTAGAATGGTTGGCTTTGAACAGTTTGAATTAGAAACTACCTTATAGGGCTACTGTTATGATGATTAGTCATCAGATAGAACATGAGTGCACATGGTGACATGGACTGTAACAACATGATGAGGATCTAAAATTGTTTTAATATAACTTAATCAACCTCTTTATATGTGTGTGTGTATGGATGGATGGATACAGATAGAACATGAGTGCACATGGCAACATGGACTGTAACGACATGATGAGGATTTAAAATTGTTTTAATATAACATAATCAACCTCTATGTGTATGGATGGATACAGATAGAACAACATATTAAAAAAGTTTTTTTCTTTTGCAGGGACTTCCCTTTAAGAGTTGTAGACACTCCTCCAGAGTTCTCCATTAGTTCAAATTATTTCACTGCAGTTTTTTCTGGAGCAGATGGAATGTTGAGGGTATGATTATTTGTTTTTAAACATATACTAACTCAAGGTACACTGAAGTTTCACCTGAATAAATATTAGCCAGAAGGTTAGTGTCCAAAAACACACACACACACAAAAGTCAGTTTATCATCTACATATACCTTGTTCCCTTAAAACTTCTGATGCATCTTAAGCAGAATAAAGTTATAATTACTGGTAACAGTGAATATGAAAGATATGTTTTTCATCAGTTCAAAGATAAAAAAGTTCAGTGTTAATCAAAATATATTTTTACTTGACTGGCTTATGATTGCTTTGTTTAGAAAAGAAGTGAGACTTAACATGAGTTAGTGTGCCTGTTATGACTCTGCTAGTTTCAACTATTATAGTTTGTAAATACCGTTCTTTTTGTTTTCTTTGAAACAGTTGTTTTCAATGACCTAATAGACCTAATGTGACCTAACAGAATTTTCTTAGCTATAATTCATATATTTTTAATCACTTGTTTCGTTGAATCAAGCTACAGTTCCACACACATGTTCTTCCTAAATAGTGTAAGATGAAGAAAAGAATATCTATTTAATACCAAAATTAATTATCTTGCATGGAAGTTTATGTCTGCAAAGGCCTCATTGGTACTGTACATGACAGGTGTAGTATGGTTGATATATTATAACATAGTTGTTTACTTTCACTCAGTTCATAGAAAATAATTTGCTGAATGGCATTTCTTTGTGTGTGTGTGTGTTACACAATTAAAACCCCAAGTCTTGGTGTTTTTTATGTAACTTTGATTTTCAACTAAAAAGTTACTATTTTTGTCTATATTTCACATATATAGTTAAAACCCAAAGTGTCAGTGTTTCCATGCAATTTTTGTTTTTTTATTTTTACTAAAAGTTAAACTGTCTCCCATCTTTTTTCACATGTGATTTAAAACCCAGTGTTTGTGTGCAGTTTTCTACTAAAAGTTCATGTTTGTTGTTCTTTCCTTATTAACACTTGTTGAAAGCCAAATTTTCAATGTTTCTATGCAATTTTATAAATATGTACTAAAAGTTTGAACTGTTCATTGTCCCTTCCTTTCGTTTTCACAACTGCAATTTAATCACAGTGTCAGGAACTGTATGCAGTTTTAAAATTTTGACTAAGATGTAAAATCATCCATTGTTTTTAACATATAGTTAAAAGTATATCAGTGATTTTATGCTATTTTAAAATATCCAGCCCGACATGGCCAGGTGACTATGGCGCTCGACTCACAATCTGAGGGTTGCTAGTTTGAATCCTCATCTCGCCAAACATGCTCACCCTTTCAGCCATGGGGTAATTATAATGTAATGGCCAATCCCACTATTTGTTGATAAAACAGTAGCCTAAGAGTTGGTGGTGGGTGGTGATAACTAGCTGCCTTCCCTCTAGTCTTTCACTACTAAATTAGGGATGGCTAGCTCAGATAGCCCTCGTGTAGCTTTGCGCAAAATTCAAACAAACAATTTAAAAATATTCTAATAAACAGTACTATTAACTGTCTTTTATTCAATTCGTTTTGTATATGTGTAAATAAAATCTGAAGTGTCATTGTTTGTATGCAAATTTTGAATTTCCTACTAAAAGTTAAACTGTTGCCCTTCCTTTCTTACAAATGTAATTAAATCCCAAAGTGTCAATGTTTTTAAACAATTTTTAAAATTTTCTGTTAAAAAACGTTACTGTTCACTGTCCCTTCCTTTCACACACACACACACATATATATATTAAATAATAAGCTGTCAGGTTAAGTTTTGTTTGACAACATTCCCATCTCTTTCTCATACATTTGCTTAAAACTATTGTCACATTTTACATGCAAACTTAAATCCAATTTAATAACTTGATTGGTTCCCATTTTTTGTTATTCATTTAGTTAAAACACAAAAGGCTAGTATTTTCATGCAAGTTAAAACTTTTTTAATAAGTTGTATCTGTATTCTTATACATCCTGTTTGTGTTGAAATTATCAGATTTTTATATAAAGTTTAAAATCTGTTTCATTAAAAGATTCTTATATTGTATGCAGCGTATTATTAACAGAGATGATTACTCAGTGACTGAAGCAAGAATTCAATTCTTGATGTATGGTACGAGGCCTAAAGGACGTGACCGTAGTGGGGCCTATCTATTTTTACCAGACACAGCTGCCCAGGTACTTACTGTTCTAATAAAATAATGTTCGTCTTGTATTCTACTTATACTTCATTTATTTAAAAGATACTAATAATATTTTATCGATGCTGAATGATTATTGAATACTTGTAAGGAAATGTTTAAATGTAATACTAAATTGTACTAGTTTAAAATAGTTTAAATATTCCCATACAAAAGAGTAGTAGTTTATTAATGCACTCTTTTTTTTTGCTCAAAATTCAGTGGGATATGCATACAAACATAGATGTATAAGTGTTTGAAAAGTTTCTGTTGAATTATTTTATATTTTTGGAATTAGCAGTAACTTCCTTTGATTATACTACTTTATTGTACCTATTTACTGCAGTTTGTTTATGGTTGTTATTTGTTAAAAATAATATTCTAACATAAAAATTTCCCTGTTTTTTTTTCTGTAAAACTACTCGCATATCTTGTTTCCCATTCCAAGAAGTATGTTTCTTGTCAAGATGAATAATATGTTTTTAATAGGACATCAAATACAGTCGACCACATATACGTGTTATTCAGGGTCCATTATTTTCAGAAGTTGTCGTGTTTCTTCCTGATGTTGAACACCATATCAGGTTAAGAAATTCACCAGGTGAGTAAGTTTAATGCTTTAGAAACTAAACTTGTTTAGGATGAAAGATTTAGCCATAAACAACTTGAGTATTGTGTTCTATTCGTGGATACATATTGTAGGATTCAGTTGGGGTTCAAAGTATTCATTGAAGCACTCATAGATATTAAAATTAATGTGATACTCTTTATCATATAATTCTAACTATGATATTTTCAGAATGATTAAACTGTCCAACCCAAAACTCTTTATCAAAAGTTTGTGATATACACCTGTAAGCAAGTTCAGCCTTTTTTAAGTAGTCATGCATGAACAAGTAATGTAAAATATATTTTAGTTTTTTTTGTGTGTTTTTTCAAAGACAGAGTTCAGGAGGGTAATAATTTGTTTCATATAGAAATTTCGTAGTCTGTTTTTGATTAAGTGAATCATTTAAATAAGACTTGGTTGTCATAAGCAGTTACTTTTGCAATGCAAAACCAAATTTGTATAAGTGACATGTACAGGCTAGATGTTTAAATGTAAGTCTAGGTCATATCAAATATTTGTTTGTAAACATAAGCCTTCACCTTAAAACTTACTAAAAATGTTGAGCTCTTCTGCCCAAAATCCTGGATCTGCCACAGAATTAGCCTTTACCTCTATTAGAGTTCCTTACTGTGACTTGGTGATTAGTTGGAATTTCAAAGTTGTTGGCAAATTCAAATGTAATTGTTTTGTTATCAAAACTGTTTAGCAATCAATAATTTTGTTAAACATTGTATTATTAAAGTATGATTTAATCAGATTCTTTAAAAGTGTGGAAATAGTGATTACATAAAGTGCTAATTTTTTATATTCTTCTTCATAATTTCATATTGAATATTATGTTGTGAAACTGCTACTTAGTACATGCCTGACAACTTAGTGATAAACTAGTGAGTCATACTGACTGACCATGTAAAGAAACATTCATAAGTATTTTTACGTAATTTCAGAATTACTTTTTGTTGAACTGAGGTTAGTACTAAAATCATTGTACAATTAATTAGTTTTAATAGATTTTGCTCTTAGTGCCATTACTCTAGCAAATATTTTGTGCTGTTGTAGGTATGGGTCTTTTAGAGAAATTTAACAAGATAGTACTATAAAATCACTATAAGGTGAACATTCACTATTTCGAATTTTATCTTAGATATTATCTGACAAGGATTTTTCATTAGTAATCAATTTTTAGGCCTACAGACACTAGAGGTGGATTCTATACAATGCATGACATCTTGTACTGAAATGTCTTGTGGAGAATTGGCTTTGTTTGATTCTTTGTTATTCTGTCCATTATACTTCTTATTTTCTTTTTAAAAAACTATACAAAATAATTTATCTACTTGTAGTTGAAGCTGATTTTAAATTATATACAGAATAGACTATTTAAACACACAACTTGTACTGCAAGCATCTTGTCTAGCATTTTTTCATATCCACAGGAACAGATGGAAGTGGAATTGAAATTTATAACATTGTAGATGTTGCCCGAGAAGTTAATAAAGAACTGATAATGAGATTTTACACCAATATCTCTAATCAGGATCAAGAATTTTTTACTGACCTCAATGGTTTTCAGGTAATCAGTTAATTCTTTTCTTTTTGTGCTGAAATTTTTTTAGAATAATGTATTATATCCTATTAGCCCAGTTTTTATTATGTTTTAACAAACTTATCTCAATTTTCAGGTAATAAAAAGGAAAATCTATGACAAAATCCCTCTTCAAGGAAATGTTTACCCTATGGCAACTATGGTTTATTTACAAGACAATCGCACACGAATGACTTTAGTGACTGGGCAGCCACTTGGAGCAACCAGTCTAAAACCCGGTAAAACAAAGGTTTATCTAGAATTACATGTTAGGGCTTAGGATTTATAAAAGCTAATCTAAGAGAAGTATCAAAAAGTTAGCATTTACTTTAAACTAAAAACCTCATTACATGTCTTCAAGCTTTATTCTTAGCATTCTTTGTCAAGAAGATTATTGATTATGGTGGTCCTTATTTGCAGGTAAAATTTTAGGTTAAAAATTCTAAAGCTCTCACCCCTTAATTATGTTCCAATGTACAAAAAAAGTAAAGCTTCAACCATTTTGGACCATATTTAGAGGTTTCTCAATGAGGTTGAAGTTCTAGACTGTAGTATTGTATGTACTATGTGATGTAAAAACATATTTGTTACGTATTATAAATGACTTATTTAAAGTGTATTATTATTTTATTGCATGTACAATATAATTATATGATTTTGATGTGGTTAGTCGCTTTAGCATTGTTGCTGTTTCCTTTATGCTGTTAGGAAAATGTCCGCTATGATCCAGCACAACTCAAAAGAGGAATTGTTTTTGTTCTTTCTTTGTTATGATGGCATTATATTTCTTAATAAAGGCCACACTCCCTTTCAACATTGTGATGTACCACATTCAAGTGTTTAACTGTCTGTTGTACCTCCCTGTAGTCCTCTCTGAGCTCCCATGACTTAGGATCATAATACGGAAATCCAGATGGAGTTTCAAGGCACCTGAAGAAGTCTGTTGTGTTCTTTGCGATGAAATGTTCAATTGATATATCCTCAGACTTCCTGAGATTCAGCTAGATGCACTGAGGAGGTTCGTTTATGCCTTCCTTCTCATTTAGTGCCATTACCATTGTTGATTTTGTCTCTGTGGATATAACTAAATCAAAGAATGTCAAACCAATGAGTCTTCTTTCTTCACAGCTAGTGAACTTAAACTGTCCCATAAAAATCCAGATTTTGAGGGTACATAATGCCTTGGCTATCCATTGATAATTGATAAGCTCTCAATAATTGTCTCTAAGTTGGCTGACCTGAAGTTGTCTTGTATCAAACTAAATGACACTGTCTTTAACTTCCTCTACGACTTCTGCTACTTCATCCTGGTTGGCTGCAGTTTCATAATTGGACTGGTCCATGTATTCTCAAGGTTGCTGATACTGATAGAAAATTGAAATATCTGGACCAGAGGAAAGCCCCATACTGTCATTGAAAACATACCAGATATGGTGCAGGTGCTGGCATGCCAACTACAGAGGATTCTTGTTTAATCTTTGCTCTAACAACACACATGTTCCATTTCTGTGACCAGTGTTGAATGCTGTTGTATCAAAGCAAACTGCCTTTACACGATCAGTGATTCCCCACTCTTCCAGCAAATATGCTACATTAGAAGCTTGAGTATCTCTAGTGCTAGAAACAAACTTTTGAACACCTAGAAGTTGGTTTACTCCTGCTCCAGACAGGTTCACTTGCAGACGATCCACTTGTCCTTTCCCCGTGATAATGATAAGAAACTTGCTATCCCAGTGAACTACAAGTGAGACTGTTGTCTAGAACTGTTTCTTTAAGATTTTAACAAATTCTTCATAGAAGTGATGTCAAGGTCCTCAGATTGAAGAACAATAGATGATTAACTCTTGTACATCATGAACAAGGCTGTAAGCTGTGGCAGTAAGGACAAATGTTTTCTTTCTGCCATTCAACTTGGTTCTGTCCATAGCTGCTGCTACATCTGGAGTGATAATATTTCTTCTTGTCCTCTTTTTAGATTTAAAAGATGATGATTCTCCAATTACTTCTCTATCCTCATCACTGTTATTGGTACTGTATCCACCAACCTGATTATCACTGTTGTGGATGCTTCCCAACAACTGACAGTTTTATTCAAGGACTGCTGTTCCTGCTCTGCACACAGTTTCCTGTCTGTACTTGCCTCAATTTTTCTCAGCTCTTAGTTCTTTGAAAGAAAGAACCTTATCTACTTGGCCCATGCACTCGCAACATCCTCTGAGCTATAAGAAAGTCCTTGTCTTTGAGGATCTTTATTGGGTTCAGAGCATCCGTTTGAGTGATGTTAAAATAGTCATCCAGATTATTGACAAACCCTACTTCATTAAATCACTGTGTTTCAGTTTTTTTGTTTTTTTTGGCTTTGTCCATTTTTCAAAAAGCTTCTTCAGTTTGATAATGGCATGATGTTCTGGACTTATTGGAATATGAGCTTTGTTCCAAAAACCTGCAGCTTCCTTTATCACAACCTTTAAGCTTTCATGAACTATTTTCTTTAATGTTTTGTGGTAGAAAAACATATACACCACTTGCCTAATTGAAGGTAATTTTCTTCGTGTTAGTTCAGTTTCTTCTGAACCAAGCACCCAAAGTGTAGTCTTACTTATTGTTGTAGTATCTGGTAGATACGGTGTCAGCTGATATGATACAGAAGAATCTGCTTAAGTGCTTATGTACCCTTTCTGAAATTCTAGAAACTATTTTCATGTCCTGAAGTAAAAAGTGACAGCATAGATTATATATATGGAATGTTCTTGAACATTCTGAATAGTGTGCAATACTCTAGAATATTCCATAATAATATGCTAGAACCTTCTAGAATTATTTAGAATATTCTGGAAAACTCTAGAATATGCAGATATAATGTGAGTTACAGGTAAAATGTCAAATATCATAAGCAACCAATAAATGTTATTCAATATGAATGAAATGTGGTGTGAATTTCTTATTTATATATTGGAACAAAATGAGGGGGGTGCTGTAAACCAAAACTTTAAAAATAAGGACCACCCTATTGATAATGATGTTATAGTATATATATTGTTTCAAGAAAACTGTGGCAAAGTCATTTACATACATAATTTTATGACTGTTTTTTTAACTTTATCCAAGACTTGTCGTGGCTGAACTCTTTAGGAATAAAATCAGTAGTCATAAATTGTTATCTACAATAAAATATATGTAGATTAGCAAATAGCCTTTGAAATAAGGTCAACATTGTCCACTTGTACAGCTAATCCAAAAGACAGAAATCTGAAAAACAGAGAGTGTTTGTGCTTTTTTTGAGAACTTTTATTATCTGATAAACATGCTCAAACCAGCACCATGAAAACTGAGTATTTGGTCATTGTATGGATGAAATAGCATCCCATAAGATCTATACAAAGAATTAAACCAATTTCACATGAGAGGTCAACACTGTTTACAGGATTGGAGAAAGTATTGTGGGTAAAATGTACTTTCATAAGTGTTGTAAAAAATATAAATGTAGTCTTTCATATTACCTAAAGTATTCTAAATTAAATTTTTTATACAAACCTTACAAATGTCATTGAAAGTATTATCATTCCCAGTTTGCCCCTGAAGAAGCTGTAAAGCGAAACATTGAGTGTCTAATTAAATAAAAACATTTTTGGGTTATAAAGTCGTTCATTTCTAGTATTAATATGTCTTCTATAAACCCATATGCACTACAGAAATTAAATAAAGTTCCACCTTTCAAAAAGCACTCGGGTTATAGGGTTTTTATCATTTAGTATTATCAAAAAATAATGTTGGATATCTGTTTCATAGGTGCCTCATACATGCCTCCACACCTTGGAAGAAGAAAACTTGGTGTCTATGCTATGTGTAATCAGTACTTTCTTTCCATTAGTTGTCATTGCTTCCAGGTTTCCTGAAACCAGGGTATTAAGGTTAAAAAGCAGTCAAATAGGTTTTATACTCTGAGAAACTTTCATGATGTTGGCTAAATTACATAATTCAACATCTAATTTAGGTTGGTTGGAAGTTTTTCTTGATCGAAGGTTAAATCAGGACGACAACAGAGGACTTCTGCAGGGTGTATTGGACAATAAGCGAACACCAAGCATCTTCAGATTATTACTGGAACGACGGTCATATAGGTCTTCTTCTGAGGTATGGAATAATGTTACGTAATGTTTTTTAGACTTAGCAGCTTTATAGTTTGTGATTGTTAGTTCAGTTCTACTAGAATTTTAGATCAGTATCTAATGTTATTTTTAGTGCAGGGTTAGAACTGTGTTATTGTTTTAATTTGTTAGTTTTGAGGCCACAATAGAGTTAGTACAAACTTCTAATTGTCAATCTGAAGCAAAGCAAACTAATGACTTCTTATTTTATGCAATTTGGTGATTGTAATTTTACCAATGTTACATAGGTAATAAAATTTTCTGCCAGCTACTAAGGAAATAATAAATTCTTGACAGATGCATAAGAAAATGTATATTATTACCTCCCATTTCTCCAGGAGAGGATTGATCAGGTAATTGTTTTATCCGATGCAAAGAAATATGGTTTTATTGGTGCACCAGTATCAGTCGCAATATGCAGTATAGCAGCATAAAATAAGAGAGTAGTTAGAAAAACCAATAGATACAGCTTCCTTTCATTCATGGTATATAAATGCTGCCAGTTTAAAATGCATGATTTCCTTTACTGTTGAGGCTCTCATCTGTTTGCCACTTAGTTATCATTGCACATGCTATGACAGGAGAGAACACGTGGCAGATGAATATACTTAAAGATATATATATATATATATATATGTTCATGAAAGCTGTATTGAACTGTCAAGAGTGTGCTTTGAAAAATCAAACTAAGTCAAGATTAACAGTGTCAAATAATAAAATAAAATGAATTCTGTTTAATGTTTGTTGAAAGTTTCCACAATTTCTTTTATGATGTAGATTTCAGGATCTATACAAATATATTGGACACAGTTTTTATAATTTGACAACATCTGATATTTATGGAGACCTGTGAAAACTTATGACCACTTAATAACTGGAAGCCAGTCCCTCAAACACGAAACTTGCACATCGTGAGGGATATTGTCCTAATTCCAAAATTATTTGTGCTGTTAATCGCATTTGACTTCCAGGCATAGATGCATATATTTTTTTTACTTATGATAATACAGATGTCATGCAAATATATCTTACTTACATAAAAATTCTCTTGGTTGCTTCAGATCTATCCAAAATGCCACCTTCCTAGAAATTAGATTTAATACATTTTAAATAGGTGGAAAGTAATTTGTCTATATACTATTCTGTATGTACATCAGTGAATTCCTTAAATTCAAAAATAATTGCACATGGGTATCCATATTCAGTTAGGTTTCTCTCAGAACCAATTAAATTTTTAACAGTAAGCTATGCCTAGATGCTTTTTAGATTTAATACGCAGTTTTCAATTAATTATTTTGCCTCTGTTAAAGCATGACTTGATGAGTTCTGTGTAAGGTGACACTGATTTTATTTTTTAGTGAAACTACCTGAAAGCAAAGCAAATGAATAGTATACTAATATAGACCATTACAGAGCTTTCTATTGATGTAAATAAAGTTTTATGTTTTTTTTTGTTTATTACTATTATATAACATTAAAAAATGCAAAAACCAAGCTGTGCACCCATAGTCAAGTGCCAGTTACTGGTTTTTAAAATTGCAAAGCTTTTTATATCTGAGACAGTATAATCCTCATATTCAGCCTACATGTCACGTACCACTGAAACATTTAACTTGTTTCCTGTTCAAAAGCCTGACATACTTAATTTTGCTGTTTTTGTTTTAATCATAATGTCTTATCAATTTCATTTTTGTAAGTTCCACTCTTAATACATAATTTTTATGGAACATTATTGAATATATATTTATGGAACTATCTTCTGAATTTTGAGAAAGTAATTTGAAATATGAAAATAATATAAGCTTAAGTCAAATATATTAAAACTTAAAAACTTTCTTGTTGTAGAGGAACAAAATTTCAATGTGATCATGACAAGTTTCATTCAGGAAAGTTTAGGCATGGTGCAACATGTTTTAAAACCATGTCATTACTTCCTAAATTGCTTTCCTCCCAAACTACTATTGATTTTATTTTCTCTTCTCACTCTTTCTTACTCCCTCAACAAGACAAGATTCTTCATTTAAATAAAATGTATGTCAGTGTGCAGGGTATTGTGAGCAATGAATATTGTCCAATGTAGAAGATGCTTTCGGTAGCTTCAGGCCCGGCATGGCCAGGTGGTTACAGTGCTCGACTCACAATCTGCGGGTCGCGGGTTTGAATCGCCGTCCCACCAAACATGCTCACCCTTTCAGCTGTGGGGGCATTATAATGTGATGGTCAATCCCACTATTCGTTGGTAAAAGAGTAGCTCAAGAGTTGGTGGTGGGTGGTGATGACTAGCTGCCTTCCCTCTAGTCTTACACTGCTAAATTAGGGACAGCTAGTGCAGATAGCTCTCATGTAGCTTTGTGCAAAATTCAAAAACAAACAAACAGTAGCTTCATTCAGAGATAGACTTGTTATGCTTTGGAGAGTGTAATAAACACCCTCTGCAGCAATTTTTCAAACACCCTTTACCGTATCCAAACTTTCCTAAATAAAACCCACATTTTTCAGTGTGCTTCTAGTGAAATTTTGTTCCCTTACCACTGATACTTTTAAGATGTACTCATTTTCAGTTTGAAGTTTTTTTTTACAATCATGTTGTAGTTCCCAAATAAACCCTGGGCAGTTTAAAACTGATGAAACTTTACAATTTATCTCTAGGATTTTTCTGTTCAGAACTGAGCAAAAACATCTTTACACACAAATAAAAAGATTAAGACATTGGTTATGTACCAGTTCAGATTTATTAATTAAACATACATAATGGAAAGTACTTCATAAGCTTTTTTTTATTATTATTGTAGCTTCTATAGTTACTACGTGGTGTGTAATTTGTCTCTGCTAGCCAAAGTCTGTCGCATAAAAGAAATGAAAAACCTTTCTTAAGGTACGGTGAATGAACAGTGTGCATCATGATCCTGAACCAGTACTATTTATCTATGAATACTTTCTTTTTTCTTTATCTTTTTATCAAAAATAGTTTTTATCCATAAAAAAAAATTATCTTCATGTTGAAATATGTGAATTGCTTATCTTGTTTTTTTCACAAACTTCTTAAATCTTCCAGGGCATATCAAGTTACCCATCTCTCTTGTCCCATCATGCTTCACTATCTCTTCTTCACCCTATGTTTAACATGATTCAGTTGGAAAAGAGTCTTGAATCCAAAAATGTTATTACTGGGCATGATTTGAACCTCCATTCTATGTTGACCCTGATGGGGCAACCTCTACCCTGTGATATTCACTTAGTTAACCTTAGAACACTACAAGCTCCACCAGGTGGCTCTGCTTCCTTCTTACCATCCAACAGCACTGCTCTCTTCTTGCATCGGTTTGGTTTTGACTGTCATTTCAAGGCTGTAGGTCTGAACTGTAGTACAAACAAAGGAAAGGTATGTTTTTTCGGATTTTTTGAATAATTGTATGAGAACAATCAAATCAGTAATAATCTGACAGCGAGTAATAGTAATAATCTCTTCAACCATATTAAAGTTTTGTGTATTAGGCATATAGTTAACTTGGTTTTATGTTAACACCAGTATATGTGTGGTTTAACTTGCAAATATTTCATGATTAATTTCAGTTCAAAAATACAGAAACACAGCCTACAAGTCAGTAAACTTTAGTAAAATGGGTTATTGTTTTCTGTACTGGAAGTAATAGTAAAAGTTTAGGCTAGCAGTTTAATAAAGTTATTATTGTATAAGTGTTTTATCATTATTTATTTATCTTGTGTATATTTATACATATGATAGCTAGACTAAATTTTAACATTGCCTCTCTAATTCTTAAGATATTTTCTCTCGTCCCTCTAAGTTGTTACAGAATGATAGTTGAATCCTCTTTAAAAAAAGACTAAATTATAATTTATCTTTGGTAGGTGTCTGTAGATAAACTTTTCCCAGATTTGTTTGGTACATCGATGGAAGAATCGTCTTTGTCACTCATGTATACTGGTAATTCGATCTCCAAGTTTTCTACTATCCAAATTCCTCCCATGGAAATCTTGACACTGCGGCTTAGTCGGAGGTGATGAGAGATTACTTCTTATCTGTATGTTGAATCACAACATTGTCTCCCATCATTTACACAATACATTGTTTATTGTTGGAATACACAGCAAAAGAAACGATTTAAAAAACTTGCAAAGTTTATGTGAAAATTTCAGAGATCTACCTGACCAGTGGAGAAAAAACATTCATTTTAATTCATGTTTATAACATCATATCTGTTTGAGAATTTGTTGGTAAGTGATAAACTCTCTTTTTGCCTGTACGAAAGTTGAGGCATTATTAAATTCTGTCTTGTGTATTTGCTTAGTGGTAGTATTGTAAGTGAGCTACCATTTTCAACATTCCAAAGCTTTTCTTGTAACATTCTGTTGACTGAGCAGAATATTAGGAATTCTTCTTTGTAATTTGTTGATAAATATTTTTCAGAGTGTAACATAGATTGGTGTGTCTTTGTAATTACACATAATAGAACTATTCTCAAACGTTTTCCACTTTTTTGTTGTACTTTTAAAAAAAGTAAAAAATGCTACCTCTAAAACATTAGAAAATGGTGTATTGTTCACAAAAAAAAATCCTAACATAAACACCACTTCCAGCACACAAAAATGAAAGAAATAAAAAGGTAACATATAGAAAATGAAAGATCTGAGCTCTAAATAGATATATCAATATGTAGCTGTGTTCAGTAACTCACATTTTATTTCTAGTTTATGTAATTATAATCCATAATTTTGCATTAAAAATAACCAATACAAAGCAGTAAATATTTTTTTTAATGTCCTTTGTTTCACTATTACATCTTTGGCGGTGCAGTGTTCAATCCCTGATAAAGCTTTAAGGTGAAATAGGTGACATTTGTTAATTTTTAATACAGGTATGAGTTTGATAATCTATGTCAGCATCATTCTAAGTATGATTATGCTAAGCCATTTTCTTTATTTACTTAAATATGAATAACCATGTATGTCAAGACAAAACATCAAAAAATACATAAAGAATAACTTTCTAAAGATAAGATATATGTTACAAAATATAAATATGATAATAAAGAAGTGTTAGAAAAGACAAAGTGAAATATAATTGTTATGGGCATAATCACATTTAATAAGTACGTCAACTTTTGTGATTTTTTTCTTTAAACATGTTTTTTATGTTTTGTCAATGTTAAATTATGAGTGTTGTTTAGGTTTATAATGCTAAGTGACATACTCTATCATTATTAGTAACATATTTTTGAAAATTGAATTTTTTATTATTGGCTGAAGTTAGTGTGTGAGAGGGTATTTATTCATTTATTGTCCACGCCTTAATGTGGGGATTTATTTTAGGCATATAGTTGATTGATGATATAATCTATCTATATAAACTGATTATATAGATTAGGAGTTG